GGGCAGTGTGAGACTGACCGCACTAGCTGTAAGTGAAGGTTACTGTCTAAAGGTGGTTACAGCTTCTGAGGTGAGATGTGGGCCACAGGGATGGTTAGAACTGCCTGAACTGTGAGAGACGAAATGGGGAGGGAGCGAGTTGAAAAGAATTAGTTTTCCCTTAAATCAAGACTAATTAGCTAAAAATGCAAAGTGACTAAGAACGTCAAAATGTCAAGTAAATGGTGACACTTTGGGCTGGGGATGAGACCAATGAGAAAGGACACCGAGGTGAAAGGTACCCACAGCAAACCCTTCTGAAGAAATGTGGCCATGCTTACCTTCTGGATATCATGTGCAGTTTCTGAAAAACAAAAAAAAAATTTTAAAAATGCTTTAAGTTTGAGAATGTATCTCATATATAGGTAAGCATTCATACTTTTATATGGCTTGTACACATATTGCTAATAATAGACACTCAAGAGCTTCATATCTCTTGGATCCAGTTTTCAAAAATGTCCCTCACTTATCTGTTCTACATCCTCTACCACAGCAGAACCACTTTATATTAAGGCCCAGAGCCATCTTCTGTGTCCCTGAGAGCAAGAGTTCATGGTAATTGTCTTCAAAACTTCCTAATAAAAATATGAAAAAGAATGCCTGTGTCATAGGACATGCGAGTCCCCTGAAGACCTGAGAATGTCTTTGTTGGTGTTTAGACATTTTGGGGCTTTAAATGAAGTTGAAATCTTTATCCAGAAGATCTCCTTGGCCCTGTCATGGAGAGGGATTTATGTAGGTATCTTATAGATACCCTGATAATACACATTTCATCATACAAGTGTTTAGTTAGGTAAGCTTATAGAGTACTTCTCTTTCCACCAATCTCTTTCCCTAGAGGTACAGTTCAGTTTGGTGTTCATTTTGTGTGGGTTCCATACCCACTCTCTCCCACCTTATTGCAATATAAGTTGCTCTGTTCATTCTTAAATAAAGATGCAATACACATCAGAGTATTTTCTGCTAAATCTATAGGCATGTGTTAGTAGATAGAGACTGACTTTAGACGGGCATTTTATATCGTGCTATTAAAATGCTGCAAAACCCAAATCAAGTTTGTTTCCTTATAGAACCACTCACTTATTGACATCTTAAGAGTTCTAGGAATATTCCTTCTTCTTGTTTTTAGTCAGGCTCTCATGTACCACAGGCTGGCCTTGAACTTGCTATGGAGCTGAGAATGACCTTTCCATAGTGCATGGGTGGTCTATTCAGAAATTGTGGTTGTTTCTGCAAGTTAGTATGTTACACCAGGGGGAACACGGGAGTTGTACCAGGTTCTCTGAGCACATGGAATGAGAGTTGACCTTTGAAAATACAGTCCCCTACCATACGAAAGCCTAGCTCTACTTGGGACGAATACAGAGTTCTAGTCATACTTGTTGACACATCTATATGGGCCGAGAGATCAAATTGTTGGGTCAAGGACAAATGACCACTTTGAACTTAAATGGGAATTACTAAATTTTGCTCAGAAAAGTTGTAAAAATTTACTCTTCCACCAAGAGTTTTACAATGTCTTTCCATCAAATTCAAAGCTTCCTTCCCTCCGTTTCTCTCATTTAAGTGAATAGTTTTTCTAATTACTGAGACAAATGACTTTTTAAACTTTAAATTGTATTGGCACTTTGTTTCTTCTGGGAACCTGGGACATATATATGTATAGACATATAGCATATATATTATATATGTTATTACATGTTTAGGGGTCCTTTTCCTTTTTGCTGATAACAATTTCTCTCTATGATATATGTTAATTTTACATCTGTCAGACATGTTGCAAATAACTTGCACCAGTTGGCTGTTTTGCAACAGGATACTTCATCTTCCTGCAATCCGGCTATCAAGCCCGTGAATCTACAATGCACCTCACACATAATCTTCTTCTATATGCTTTGACAAAGAATGAAAAATGCAACTCTATTTTCAGACTCACCACTGGTCTTCAACACTTTGTGTGACCGCGAGGAAGGCTCTGAGGGGAGAACAAAGCCAGCATTATTTGCAAATCAATATTTGCCCTCATAAATAAATTAGTAGCTTATTGACATTTTTAAGAGCTTTAGAAATTCTTTTTTTTTTTTTTTTTTAAATTTTAGACAGGCTTTCATGCATCTTAGGCAGGCCTCCGCTATGTAGCTAAGGATGACCTTGAACTCCCGATCTTCCTGCCTCCACTTCCTGAGTGCAGAGATTACCAACACAAAGATCACAGGCATGAGCCCCCATTATGTGGAGCTGGAGAAAGAACCCAAGGCTTTGTACATGTCAGGCTAGCACTCTATCAACTATGTAACATCCCCGGACTCTAGAAAGGCTCCGTCCAATTTACTCAAATTCTCAGAGCTCAGAGATACTCAGGTGCAAGCAATTCACTCTGCTGACGTGGTAGGATAAACTAAAGGGTCGGGAGTCACGGAACAGAAGGGCAGGTGCCACTCTGCCAACCCACCAAGCAGTGGAACAACCTCTGCAGCTTCCGCTGCAGCCTATCAGCTGGCAACTTGCGATTTCATATTCCAGGCTGCGCACCCTTACCCGTGCTTCGGATCTCTCAATCTGAGCTCCCCGCTTCCTCTTGACCTTTCACCTGTATTTGCTACCAGCTCATCGATGACTTTTCTCTCGAAAGCTAGTGACCACGAGGCCATTCTCAGCCTATCTTGCTTCCATCCACCAGTCTAGAAAGCTTTGAGTGAGCTGACTCAAGTCACCCGTCTGCATCCCTAAGCCTGACCCAAGTCACCAGTCTACATGCAGGCCTTCCTCATTTCTCCCCTAGACAAGTATGGCTGCTGTGGGGGGTGGGGTGCAGAGACTCCTTGCCTACTTGGTTCTGCACCCGAAGCCAGCTTCTGTAAAAGGCATATATCCTCACAGTTGAAAAAGCCTCCTTTGCCTCGGCATATTCACAGGTGTGCACGGCATGCTAAGCCTTCATCATCAGGCTTCTATCTGCACCCCTCTATCCTCATCTCTCTCCATGTGCCTTGTCTCCTCCACCTCAGCTCCATCCCTCACTCCAGCCAGGCTGAGCTGCTGACAGTCAGTCGCTGCTTGTCCTGCGGCCTGTTGGCTCAAGGCCTAGGGCTCTGCCCGGATGATTCCAGCTCTCTGCCTCAGCCTCACATGCCATCAAGGGTATCATCAGTCTTCGACTCCGTGAAATCTCTCTCCTTCCGGGAATCTCTTTGTCTTTTCACTCTCTTTTCCATCCACAGATGCCAAAGATTTATCAAAGGTATTTATTTATTCATTCCTTTTTTTCTGTCTCCCTCACAGAAACAGTAAGTGCTGTTTATCCCGGCATTCCTTGCTGATAGTAAAGGGTGAAGTGGACTTCGTAAACACTCCTTCATATAAAACCAAGCTTTGAGAGCTCAGAGAACACTAAGCAAACACATATCAAAATGTGAGGCTTGAATACTCTCGGGTGTATCATTCACATGGTATACTTTTTACCACCAACCACAAGTAGGGCTTAAGGGAGTACTTGCCAATGGTGAGGTGCTGTATAAAGCGCAAGTCATTGGTTGATACATTTTATTTGTTTATTTAAGACGGGGTCTCACTGTGGAGTTCTGCCTGGCCTAGAACTTACTATGTAGATCAGGCTGGCCTCCAACTCACTGAGATCTTCCTGCCTCTGGCTGGGACAAAAGGCATGTGCCATCATACCTGGCTGGTTGACATATTTTATATTTACTGGGAGAGAGAAGTAGGGAAGTGTTTTAAAGAAAGGCTAGAGAGGTGTTTTTTTTTCCTTTCTCGTCTTTCCTTTTGGTAGCCTTAGATGTATTAAACTAACAACCCAGAAAATGCCTGTCAGTCAGCAAAGTACCCACTTCCTGGCCCTCTCGGCATTCCAGTTCCCCTTCAACGGCAACTTCCTGCTTACCAGATTTCCGCCTCTGCCGATGCGGTGCAGAACCTTCTTTGGAGCCACATGGCGTCCTCATCTGTCCCTCAGGACTGTACCAGAAGCCTGGATGGTCTGCAAAGAGGAGGGTGGCTGTACTTTTTTGAATTTTGTGCTACATCAGAAACACCAGTAATTCTCAAGTGATAAAGGTTCTTGTAGATAATCAGAAGGGGCCTTTTTTTTTTTTTTAATGGGTGAGTAATTGCATTGTAGTGTGTGTGTGTGTGTGTGTGTGTGTGTGTGTGTGTGTGTCTGTGTGTCTGTGTGTATTTTAATTGCGGGGGAGAGGAAGAGTCAGTCCTCCATGGAGGCACATCTGACAGTTTTAGGACCTGCAGAAACCAGAAGTATTGCTAGCCATTGAGTGCATCACAGGTAAACCAGGGGAATCAAGGTAGAAGCAAACCCACATCTTAGGAAGGGATGATCACGTCCGCCCCAGCTGCTAAGATGGGGTGAACAGGGGCTGGTTTCCCACAACTGACATTTCACAAGCTTTGAGACACACAAACAGCCATCACCGTCTCCTCAAAGAATGCTAAGGGAACACAAAACTTACGGATGGCATCCATTTCAAGTATTGCTTGCTTGGCCTGAAAGAGAGAAAAAAAAAGTAGATATAATTGAATTTTTTTTCTCCAATTTCTTCTTTAAACTACCAAGTCTGACAGAAATCTTATCACATCTGAATAAATGGATTTTAGAAAACAAAAATATTAAAAAACAATTTCTTTTAGGCCTTAATACATAGTTCAGGGGACTCAAAGACTATTCTCATGGGGATTAGCAGATGCTGTTCACTGGGGGAGACCAGCTCCCTCTTATGCCCCCCGGGTACTCTTGAGCAGGGAGAAATGAAAAATATGTAGATAGAGGTATAGAGGAGAGAGAGACAGAAACACAGGACAGCCTCGGGAGGGCCTGGGTCCAAACCCACCGGCCCCTTCTGTCTCTGCTAAAGGCTTTTTAAAGGAATGCCAGTGGGTGGAGCAAAAGACCTCCCCCCAGCACAGCCAAGTGCAGACCATCTCAGACACCTGGTGACCTTGCATGTGGTCAAGCCATCCCCTAGTGCAGCCCTGCTGGGTAAAGCAAGCTCAGATCTCATTGGGAAACCTTTGTGGGCTCCCACAGTTCACTTGGCACATTGCAGCGGAGACTGGCTGATTAGTGTTCACTGTCAACTTGACACAATTTAGACTCACTTGGGAAGAGAGTCACAATGACAGACTGTCTAGAGCAGTGATCCTCAACCTCCCAAATGCTGCGACCCTTTAATATAGTTCCCCATGTTGTGGTGGCCCCCAACCATAAAATTTATTGCTAATTCATAACTATAAGTTTGCTACTGTTATAAATTGTAATGTAAATATCTGTGTTTCCCGATGGTCTTAGGTGACCCCCAAAGGGATCGTGACCCACAGGTTGAGAAATGCTAGCCTAGATCAAATTGGCTTGTGGGCACATCTGGGGTGGTGGTGGATTATTTTCTTGATTTTGTTAATTGGTATGGAGAGGCCAGTTGATATGGTCACATCCCTGAGGCTGTGTCCTGAATTATGTAAGAATAGAGACAGTGAGTTCAGTAGCTGGCCTGTATTCATTTCTCTCTGCTCTTGACTGTGGGTGTGACCTGAGAAGTGGCTTCCAGCTCCTGCCTCGGTGTTCCTGGAATGATGGTAATGTGTAACCTGAACTGTGTGTGAGCTGAAAGGAACCTTTCCTCCCCAAACTGCTTCTTCCGTCAGGGTATCACGGCAACGGAAATGAAGCAAGATCCAGACTGCAGCATCCACGGCCTTGATGTAGAGACACGCCTTTATACAGAGCCTGTGCGCGTGTTCCTGTAAACTTTAAATCAGCTCTAGGTTCCTTACCATATCCAACAGGTCGATCGTTTTATATTGTATCATTCAGGTGAGTAAAAAAAACCGACCGCATGCATACTAAGTATAGCTGCTGTTCAGTTGCTCTCACATTCCAGAGCGACCTGAAGGGAACGACCCTCACCTCTCTGGAGCTTTCTCAACTGTAAGGTGGGATTTTTTTTTTTTTTTTTTTTTTTGAGACAGGGTTTCTCTGTGTAGTTTTTGTGGTGCCTGTCCTGGATCTTGCTCTGTAGATCAGGCTGGCCTCGAACTCACAGAGATCCACCTGGCTCTGCCTCCCAAGTGCTGGGATTAAAGGCATGTGACGTCACCACCCAGCTCAACTGTAAGGTGGAATAGCAGAATCTACCCTTCTGAGTGCTGTTAGGATCAATTGACAGGCACAGGCATGGTACCTGTCTCTGCCCTTCTGGGCAATGGAACCTGATGCCTTGAGGCTTCTGCTCTCCACACACTTAGAAGTTCTACCCAGAATACTTTGGGGTTTGCTGTTACTGTATGTGGCCAATGTTCAGAGACTTAGAAATAGGTAAGCGGAACTGTCTTAACCCACCATTTTGCCAACTGACTCAAGGGGGCGCGGAATCAGTTGAGGTGACATTTCTTGCTTTTCAATAGTGTTTACATTTTCCCTCAGGGTAATATAATTTAATCTACATACACTATGCTATAATAACTAAAATGACTTTGTTTCTAATTTGCTGCGATCTATGATATCATGCAAAACTATTTGGGCTGAGTGGTAATCACATGTAATTAAAAAATAAAGATGGAGGCACAGACAGGAAAAACCATTGAGTTACCTTAACTTTGAGAAAAAAAAAACAGTTGCCTATTTAATTCAGTTGTATTTCTATGTCATATTTGGAACTTGAGGTTACTAGTTGGAATGAATTTCAAACACAAACGGTAGCTTAATCTCTGGAAAGTGGCTTTCTCGTTCCATATTAATATTTAAAATGAAAAAGCATTTACGCCATCTTTATGCTCAATTAATTTGGCTCAGTTTATAAACTATACGTATAAATGGGGCATGACGTGACCAGTTCCAAGAAATTCCCTTAACAATGTTAATCCTTAAGAAGGCATAAAATCCCCTTCAGTCTTGTAAATCATTTCAGGAAAGAATTCTTCCCACGTTGTCCACTAGGTGTCAGCTGAAGCCCATCCGGGAGCTTAGCAGTCTGGGTGGAGGCTGGCAGAATTCAGTGATTCATCAACAGCTGTGTTGACATTAGAAGACCCGGTTATACACGTCTTGCTGTTTAAAGTGTCCCATTATATATTTGTTTGATTTCACAGAAATAAATATATTTTGAAAGCTTTAAGAAAACAATTGAATAGTCTTGATGAAAGATCTAAAAAAAAAAGCCACCTTCATTTAATAACCCTACTTAAACAGGGCAAGGAGTTATTTTTAACATTATAGTGGATAAAGTATACTAAACATGTTTGTTTTCGTTTCTAGTTGGGGAAAATATGGTTTAGAGGTTCTTTGGAGCCAAATTTTGATTTGCGTTGGAATCTGAATTTGGCCATGCACTAGTTGTAAAACTTGGACAATTTGCTTCCTGCTTCTGAACCTCTGATTTTATTCTCTAACATGGGAAGAACATGACCCATCCATCTCTAAGACATTTTACTGAGTGTGAAGTAAGAATACAGTGTACCTATCACAATGTATATGTGTTCAATAAGTTGTAAATTAAAATCCATTTTTGATCCTAAATGGACTAATAGCTTGGGTGAAAAGAGTAATTGTATTGTGCCTGTATCAATTGTTTTAGGCACCAAGGGAAAAGCCACCAGGAATACACAGAACGGAAGGAAGAGGACAGGCATGTAAGCTGTCTCATTTGGTAAGTGACTATAATTGCCTTTCAGAATCTTATTAAGCAATCTGATTTTCCCAGGATTCTTGTAAACTGTAGGTGGGGCATAGCAAAGACATGGTGCCATCTCTCCGAAGGGCATTGCCTCTGAGTAATCATGAGAGAAGGCAATCACTGTTCTGCACGAGTTCCCTTGTATCTCGCGACACCTGACGAAATCAAACTCGCACCTCAGTCTAAGCATATACCCCTGCATGTTCATTTCCTGAACATAAAGCCACTGCTGGCACAGCTCCTAGAGACCAGGCTGAACATCTTTTCAGAACATGTAGAGGGCAAGCTGTGTACATATTGTGGGCATACTGGGTACACCTGTGATCCCAGCAATCAGGAGTCTGGAGGTCAGGGCGGGGGTAGAGGTGGGGTGGGGCGCATGGTTGGAAGTGTTCAAGGTTAGCCTGGGCTACATAATAAGACTCTGTCTCAATCAACCAACCAACCAACCAACCAACCAACCAACCAAAGGCAAATTTCTTCTTTCCTAGAACTCCTTCTGATTTTTTCCACCCACCACCACCACTCTTACAACTGATTCTATTTTCTGTTCAGTTTCTCTTCTCTTGGTCCCATCACGGACATGCCATCATCCTTACAGATGGCTACTCACCCCTTCATCTTAGGCTTTGCTGCTTTATTTCTAATAACCATTTCCTCTACTCCACAGTAGCAACAGGGCAGTAAGCCCCTCCTAGAACCTGAACACACCAGGATGGCCCGGCCTCCCAGGTACGGTACCATGAACTTTCTTCAACTACAGATTCCATGTTTCCCGATGAACCAGCTGACCACAGACCGGAAGTCTCTCCTCCGCTCAGCCAGGAATCATAGTCACTAGAGCTTCAAGTTCATGAACATGGGCCCTTCTCCTTATTGTAGGAACCTTTCGCGCCCCAGCTCCGCCACCCCTGGAGAGGAACTCATAAGTGCCATAGTCCCTTCCAGCAGTTTCTATGTTGCTGAGCAATTTGTCACGACACCGTCACACGGATCCACGTGGCAGCCTCAGGTGGGTCATTGGTGCCTTTCCGAAAGGAGCCGAGTCACTCTGAGTAACTAGACCATTTTCTTTAGCAGTGAGTCTGACCCTCTCCACTTTTGAGCACCTACCCCGTCGCGGGATGACATCATCACCCACACCAGCGTCTCCTGCCCTTCCGGGTTTCCTAATTCCCCTCCCATTTCTCTTCATTCTTCACTCTAGCTCAGGGAACAGGTTTTCAACTCTTTCCCAGGCTCCATCCTTTCCACCTCCCATGACAAACGGCCCTTCCTCACCCTTGCTGAGTCCTAGTCTTCCCAGACAGCTCACTAACCTACACCATGTTTTCCACCCAGATAGCAAGCCTCGTTGTGACTGAGTGGCTCTCTAACTTACACTTTTTCGAAATTAGTGGGGGAAAAAAATGTCTCCACCCAACCTGTTTCTCCTTTCTTTTCAACTCAGTGCAAACATTCTCAAATCCACATTCTGCATCTGTTTGGACCCCTCAAAGCTGCTTTTCTTTATCCCCGTTACCCCCTCCTCATCAGGTCCCCTCCTCCCGGTGTGCTCCCTTTGGTAGCTTTCCAAGGACCCCTCCCCCAGCAGATGACACGCTGGGATTCCCAGGAGTCCCTGCTTCCTTTATACATCCTTGTGGGCCATCCTGCCAAGCTATGGGGCTTCAATCAGGGCTTCTCCTAATCCTGGACTGCCAGAACCTGAATTTCCACCTCCGTTCACCCGGCCAGACGCTCCTCTGCTCCCATCCAACCGGTTGGGTGTCCTCTGGTTCACTCCCAACCCCAAGCCCTTCCTGCGCCTTCTGACTCAAGCGCTGTCTCGGAGGGTGACATCTGTTCCCTTTGCCGCGGCGGCTCTGTCTTGCATCTGCTCCTTAGGCGACTTGGCTGCCTTCCCCTTCCCCAGCCTCACCTCTGCCCTATCTCCTGGCGCTCTGGTCCCAACGCCAGCTGTGTTTGGGGAGCAGGGTGTCACTCCCGTTTTGTTTACTCTGTTGTCTTGGCCTCCATTCCCCTCCCTCTTCCCCAGCTTCACAAGCACATTCCTCATCCTTCACGAAAGCAGGAGGCCCTTTTCCTTCCTCCCCCTCACTGGCTGGAGCTGAACACTTTGTCCTTCTGCCCCAGGCCACCTGGCTTTCAGCACAATTGTTTCCCCACGTCCAGCACACAGATCTGGGTTAGGCGGGCAGCTTGCTCTCGCCTGGTAAATTCCTTTCCTGCCAAACTGGGCTTGGTTTCCTGCTGTTCCCACAGGACCCAACAGGGCCTCCTGAGGCTCCCAGGCCTCCTCAGAGGAGGTCCCATATTTTCTATTAGCTTCTTTATAGTCTTTCACTTATATTTTCCCCCCTTTTATCCTCTGGGAGGGGTGGAGGGGGGTAGGGGGTGGGGAAGAGTAGTTAGCAACATTGCCTCCATAGCCAAAGATGTGTAAATCTGTAGTGGGTGCCATTGCCTCCTCTGTGTTTATATATGTCAATGTACAACCTCTGAAATGCCTTTTTTTGTGGACAGGGTTTTGCTTGGCCATCCTCCTGCCTCAGATTCCTGACTGCTGGGATTAAAGGCTCCACTTTGAAAAAGCTTGGCCTTGCTTCCCGTCAGACTCCTTGCTAGGGCCTGGACCTTTTCCGCAAGCAAGCGTGACCGTGTGCTGACTGACCTCGCTCTCTTACCTTAGCTGGGATCTTTGCGGCATGGTTCTCCAGAATGAGCCTCTTCAGGTGCAGGACCCAGAGCCGTTTGTCTTGCTGGGATTTGGCCTACGGGAGGAGATTTAAACAGTGAGAGGTGAGGCCACACAGAGATGGTGGCCGGGCTCTGGGCACCTCTGCGATGCGGGGACCTGGGAGTGGACCGCTCTGTTTACCTGAACTGTGTGCTGCAGCTTGGGGTTCTTGTAGTGGAAGACGCTGAAGCTGAGCGGCTCCTTTGGAATCACCTCCACAAGCATGAGGTTGCCACACTGCAGCGGGGAGCACGGTGGGTGAGGCACACTTGGGCACGCCACCAGCCACCCCCCTACCTCACCCCCGGCCCTGCATGCCGCCCCGTGAGGACCCACCAGGATGTGAGCTTTGTAGGTAAACGTGTCATCTCTCTTCTTTGTGATGAGAAGCAGCTTGTCCAGGAGGAAGAGTGTCCTCTCATTCTTGGCCCTCTGGATGCGGAAGGTCCCCTCAAGCACCAGCTCCCCGTAGCTGGTGAGGTCTGGCCCCTTCCAGTTGGTTAGCAAGCTCTGGATCTCCTAAGCAAAGGGAATTTCACCTCTAATTAGACACCAGGCACACTGCAACGCATCGCAGACTCAGTGACGGGTCACTGAACCTCAAGGGTGGTGACCGACAGAAGCCAGTGTTTATGGGGGCAAGGCTGTCAGTCGAGGGTTTCCTGAAACGAATCAAATCGTCAGTCGCTGAATTGCCAACTGCTCATTGCCATTCTTTAATGATCCAGTGTCATGGCTGGCATCGGCAGCTACACCTTTCCAAAACTTCACAGGGTCGTCAGCAGCGTGCTGCCGTTACAGATGGCACCCTCCTCTAACTTGTCTCATTTTCTTCTCTTTGAATTAAAACCCTTCAAGGTTTAACTTGAGAATGTTCTAGAAACTGAGTTCCATACCGTACATAAGTAACTCAAAACTGAAGCCTGGGTAAAACCACAGACATTTTTCTCAGGGCTTTCCCAACTTCAAGTTCATTTATCCAGAAAGGAAATGGACATAGCTGGATGTACATCCCGTGTGAGTCTGGTGCTCATGGAGCCATGAGAGTGTGTCAGATCCCCTGGAACTGGAATTACGGACCATTGTGAGAATTGTGAGCCTCTATCTGTGTGGGTACTGGGAACTGAAACTGGATTCCCCGCAAGAGCATCAAGTGCTCTTAGCCACCTAGCCCTCTTCCCAGGACCTTGTTTTTAAGTGGCTCATTTTTTGAAGAGTCTAGAACATAACCAAAAGTTCCTGCAGGGAGTGGTGGTGGGAGGCGCTAAGAATTCAGGGTTCATAATACGGCCATGCATAATCTATGCACATATGCTGCGTGGCTGTGTAAGCAGCCTGTATGCATGCACGGAGCTCCTTTCAAAAGCAGACTCTGTCGGCCCCTTACTTTCTCGCTGTCACTTCCCTTTCAGAGGTCGCCTCCACGAACTTCTCCCTCTCTTCACACTCCCTTAATAAACTCTTAATGTAGGCTTTGTTGTATCTTGTGGTCTGTCATACAACAGATGGACCTTAGCAAACCTGTCGTCACATGTTAAAGTTGGAAAAAACGAAATGTTCTTGAGATTCGTGTCTCACGTGAAATGCAAAGGAACTGCTCCAGTCTCTAGTCCCCTCATCGAGTCACCTGCCCTGTGACCACCCTAACACGTATGTCAATGGCGTTGTATAAACCAGTCAGAGAGGAAGAGGGGCATTCCATGTCCTTAAATAGTTCAGAGAGAATTTGCTTTTAGCAAGAGTTGTAATTGATTTGAAATGATATCAGAAAAAGCCTTGGGAGACTCATATTTAACCAGGGTCATCAAAGGAGCTATAACAAAATTATTAGTTTAAAAGTGATAAATTTTGTCCTACGTAGCCACTGTCATCAAGGGTCGGTATTATCCGTGTCCTGACCCGTCTTCAGGGAGAACTGCGGTGAGGATTGTCAATGAGGGGCACTAATCCCGCAGCCTGAGCACGTGACTCGGAAAACAGCGATGATGTGTCGGAGCCCTCGCTGGGAACCGTGCCCCGGCTCACCTGCAAGCGAACAGCGTGCTCATGCTTCCGTTTCATGTCATTGATGTGCCAGGCCACTCTCTGCATCGTGTCTATAGCATCAAGCACCACATCATAGCCTTCTGTGTCCTTGTCAAGGTGGTTTTCTATTTCCTTTAAAAAAAAATCTGTTATTAGTTCTTTCTTCCCATGTAGTCAATGAAGCAAATGGCTTCATATATATATGTATATATATATGAATATATATGAATATATATATGAATATATATATACCTCAAAAGGCAACAACAAGGTAATTTGGGATACACTCAGTTACCATTCTTCTTTTTTTCCTTCATTAATAGCCATTTACAAATATCAATTAAGTTTTTGTAAGGATCTTGATTACTCAGAGGAACAAAGATCTTGGATTTTTCTTGATTGATGGCTACCTGATTCTCTAGAGGACTAATGTCTTATATGTCATAGTGACACAGTTTAGCAGAGATATATCCTGCGAGAGGTGTTGTTGTTTTTTTTTCAAAAACAGTGTTTTGTCTGAACACTGACTTAGCAAACTTATCCCACTAAAGCTTCCTTTTGGTTTTTGTTTTTTGTTTTTCGAGACAGGGTTTCTCTGTGTAGTTTTAGTGCCTGGCCTGGATCTTGCTCTGTAGACCAGGCTGGCCTCACTCACAGAGATCCACCTGCCTCTGCCTCCCAGAGTGCTGGGATTAAAGGCGTGCACAACCACTACCCGGCATCCTACTAAATCTTGAAGGTCACTAGGATTAACTCAAAAATTAAGGGATTATTTCTAGGTGGCTTCATAAGATAGCAGATGATTCTCCAAGTATAAGCTACTTACGCAAGTAGACGAAGACATTTTTGGTAAAATTCTACCTATGTGAACTCTGCAAACCAGACATGATTGCCCAAGTTAGAAACCTAGAATCATTTCAAAAGAAACACCACATATGGTCAACGGTCACGCCACCCTGAACACGTCTGATCTTGTCTGATCTTGGAACCGAGACAGGGTTGGGCCTGATTAGTACCTGGGTGGGAGAGATATCAGGAGTGCTGACAAGACAGAGCTCTGGATTAAAATTTCTACTTATTTGTTATTTGATTGGTTAAAGGAGGGTCTTATGTAGCACAGGCAGGCCTCAAACCCTCTGTCTAGCTGAGGATGATACCAAGGTCTTGATCCTCCTGCCTCTACCTCTAAAATACCTTTAGGAAACGATTCTTAATCTAGTATACAGAATAACAAATTATAAACACTATCTCATTTTTATCGAATGGCTATGAGCCACAGCGAATGTAGCACTTGAGAGGATCTGGAGGCAGACAGACTTGCCTCGGGGTTCTGTTCCTCAGCCCTACTATTCTGTTTCCCCTCCCACTGCAAAGCTAAGTAAATCCAACTAGTAGAATGCAAATGATCTGCAATAGAACTTTCTCCATTAACTACACTTCCTTAGAGGATCTGAGAGGTGAATCTGAGATCTACATCCATCTTATTTCGAAAGCCTTCTTGACTATTACACAAGTAGAAACCACTAGAAAGGGTCGATAGCCAGAGCTGAGGCTGAGCCCCACTCAGAGATCCTTCATGGGGCTGCCCCTCTGTCTACCCCCTTTCTAGGACTTTCTCTTTTCTTCCATATGAGGGCCAATCTATGACAGTTTTCCCTCCCAACTGCCTACTGAATTGGGGCTCATGGAAATAAAGCAAAACAGGAAAGTGAATCTGCTTTTCATTTAGATGCTAGCTCCCTGCCTGTAACTGACCCTGTCCAGCACAAGGCATTCCTCAGCCCTGTCACTATCCAAGTTCAAATTAATCTTTCAGCTTGGCTGTGGTCGATGGGGCTGCAGCCCTAGCATACAAGTATCTCTAATTCCTCAAAGCGGTTGTAAAGCATGAGTGTAGAAAGTGTTTCCATATGAGCACAACATTTTCTGGCATTCCCACCCCTCCCCAATTTAATATACACACCCCAATCCCCCATCCCCTGGCAAGAGTTCTAGCACAGGCTGAGACTTACATGTAGAAGGAGATGATATTTGAGAATCCGCTGGACTGGTTTTAAGAGATAGGACCCTAGGGGCAGTGAGTGTTTCAGAGTTTCCTGGCGCTCTCGGAAGAACTTGGCCAGTATCTTGTTCCTCATACACTCGGTTAGCACGGCCACAGACCTGCAGGAGAAGCACATGCTTTTCATCACGATGATGCCATGTCTTACGTGGGTGTTTGAGGTTTCAATGCCAGTCTTGGTGGAAAGATCCTAAAACAGGCAGAGTAGCCATGGAGCTAGCTCCTGGCTAGAATGCCTTGGAGCAAGTCAGGAAAAGGTGTGCCTTTGGATGGATTGAATTAGAAAAGGGAACTGAACCCAGTGGCACAGAACCATGGGTTTGGGCTTTGACAGCCTCACTCCAGCTTGACAAGAGACGTTTGTATTGGACTTTAGCCCCTTTACCTGCCTCATCCAGATGTCTTTGTACAGTGCTCATGGTGCGCATCTGGATTCAGTTCCCACAGGCCAGGTTATCAGGCACAGCTTGCCTGGTTTAAGACATTTAACAGTTCCTTTTATTTTTTATCACAGACTTGGTTTCCTATCAGGACAGTGGTCACCCCTCAGACGGTTGGAGAAATGTGCCCGCTCTACCACTTCCCAAGAGTTGACCTTTCCCAGAGAAACTCTGAATGGCTGCCCCTCTACTGGCAAATCTTCTCTACTGGCAATTTTTGGTAGTTTCACTGCAGGGTATTAGAAAAGGGGGCAAGAGTCCCTTCTGCAGTTCCCAAAGTCATGCGTAGCTCCAACACATCTTAAAGCAAGAATGTGTAATGATGCTTATCCCTTCCACATCAAGCCAGTTAATAAGATCAGCTATCACACACACGTGCAAATTAAAATCCCGATGTGGTATAACTTTGATGCAGGCGGGAACCAT